CACTCCCTTAGTGCCCAATGTCCCACTCAACCCTACCCTGTGACCAGAAGTAGTAGCTTGGTCAAATCAGCGAAGGGAAAGGCCCATGTGCCACATCTGCTGCTCTGTTGTTCCAGGATAGAGACAATGGGAGGACACAGGGAGAGTCTGGGACATGCCCACACTCCACCCATGCCATCTCAGGGTAGAGCAAGGCTGTGATCATCTCCACCCAGGGCTGGCAGCACTGGGGCGTATCCAGGAGGCAAGTTAGCAGGGCCTTCTAGTACACCACCAACTCAGATACCAAGAATTTCTCAACCTGGAAATTATACTCCCTCAGGATTCTCTGCCTGGAAGTTGGCTGTGGCTTGGAGAGCAGACTCCTAGGAAAGAGTGATTGATATCTCCACTCTCAGCTAGATCCCCAACATATAATTTCCACTGGGCTCCATAAATTACATAGCTTGCCCTATCTAGAAGTTTTCCCATCCATCTAGCTCCTCTCCCTGTTTTTTGATAAAAGTATCTTCCCCATATTTCCTAGGATTGGAATCTGAATGATCATTGGCTCCCTTTCCTCCTACCCTAAATCCACACTGCAGGACATTTCCCATCTATTGCCTGCTACCTTTGCCTATTCTTCCTGCAATAGTTTGGTTGTTTATGATGGCTCCCCTAAACCATCATAACAGACTTCTAAGTATTTTCACAGCTTGAGCCTTTCTAGGTACTAAAGGTCCTTCTGTCTTTTGCCCTCATTTAATATGCATGCTATTATGTATGGCATTTTTGACCAAAAACATTCACTGTCCCTGCTCATCTCTGCTGAAGTCATTGTCCAGTACTCAGATCCTTTATGCTTAACTCCAAACCATCTCAAGTTAGGATATATAACACCTTTTATTACAGCTTGAATAGGACCTCCTCCATGAAATTCTCCATTACATCTGAGTCATGTGGTGACTCCATTCTTTATGAGTACTACTATTCAGTTTTATCATTTAAGTACAGCTTAGTGTTAGTTGTTTGTGCTGAGGGCAAAGCACCTGACTGCAAGCCCTTGGAGGTCAAGAGGCATATCCTTTCACCTTTGTACATCCAGGGGCTCCCTACTAGGGGTTTGAGTATAATGGGCTCTCAATGCCTATCTGTTAGATCCAATGAATAAATGAACCTGTTGTGTAAATAGACCAGTGCAGCTGAAAGCCTAGCACACCTGGAACTCTTCTGCGTCATCCTCTTTCCTCTTCTCAGTTCACCTAACAAAACACCCTGCTGCTTTTCCAATTCAAACACCTTTTCCATCAAACACCTGTATCATCACTATCAACATTAACACAAATTCATGTCATACTTTTTCTATTAATTTTAAAGTAATATATTCTGAATGTTCAGAATAATCTCATAGAGAACACCTGTTACTTGAGTGCTCTTATTTTCAACCTCTTGAGGGCAATTTATTCATTACTATATTAAAGTGGCTGTTTAATAACTTATAACTGTCAGAGAAAAAAGGCAAATTGCAGTCAGAATGATCATGCTGGATACTTGAAATGAATTTGTGTAATTCTTTAGTTTTTTCTTCATTTCAAATCTGGGTTTTTTAGGCCTAATTAAAAAAAGGAATGCAAAATAATGTAACAAAGAGAAGCGGTTTGCTGTTGTTGTTGTTTTGTTTGGTTGCTGCCAAACTTTGACTCAGCTTTAATGTTTCATTAAACATTCTATCTTGGACTTGAGAATGTCATGCTTGTCATCATATTTCCCTAAGGGTCTTCAAGGCCTTTCTCTTGTGCACATTATGAGCCTCTCAAAAGATAATGTAATTATCAAATGATTAAATTTTAAAGCTTGTGGTCTCCAAAAGAGATGACTCTGAGCAAAAAGTATCTTCTAAAATCACAAGTCAGAGAAAACACTGGGAGAGAGTGTAGGAAGGGGTAACATTGTGCAAAAAAAAATATTATCTGACATATATAAGTATAATCCCTTATAATAACAATAAAAATAAAAGTTAAAAAATCTTGGAAGTGGCGCTGTAGCTCAAGTGGTAGAGCGCTCGCCTTGAGCTGAAGAGCTGAGGGACAGTGCCCAGGCCCAGAGTTCAAGCCCCACGACCGACAAAAAAAAAAAAAAAAGTTAAAAAATCTTTACAATCACCAGTCCAGCAAAAATCAGGGAGGATGATTATAATTCCATATTGAGTACATATATGGAAAGAATTAAAATGCATTATAAAGTTGTCAATTTTCACTCAAGCTTTAGCAGCATTAATAAAAATTTTCAAATTCATATTGCATGAATTACTAAGAGAAAAATGTGTAACTTTGATAGGTTAGGATATGATCAAGTGTTATCAACCACGTTTTGGAGAATCTCAAATAAAGAATGGAAGAAAAGTTGTTTCTATATTCCTTGAAAGTAAAGTTGGTTTTAAAACACTTGATGTGAGGGTAGAACATATCTCAGAAGAAGAATAGGTTGAGTTAATACCTCAGCCCCAGACAAAGGAAAAAAAACAATAAAAAATGAAATGAAGAGAAATAATACTAGCAAATTAGATGCCATCATCCTCAGCACAGTGTAACAATTTCATAAGTAATTGCAATGCCCCAGGTACTGTTGTTAGAAACTTTAAGCAGCATGTCATTATTATTCCCATTTTTTGAATGGAAAAAACTGAAACTGTGAGAGTTAATAAATTCTCCTTACGAGACACTAATGAGAATAACAATGTGCCTAGATAAAAAAAAGTAGTTTTATCAATGAAAAGTAAAGCTAAGGAAAGCACACCAAATTAAATACATACAGTAGAAGCCAATGGTGAAAGAAAAAAAATCTTTGTAACCAGATAGAAATGGAAGTAAGATGAATAAAGATCTTAAGCTTCTAATCCATATAGCCCCTTTCTTGTGCCTGCTTTTTGTCAATCCTCCAAATAACCACTTTTTTGTTTTTTGGTGAGTCATGGGTCTTGAACTCTGGGCCTGAGTGCTGTCCCTGAGCTCTTTAGCTCAAAGCAAGTACTCTACCACTTGAGCCACAGCACCACTTCCGGTTTTCTGGTAGTTAATTGGAGATACGAGTCTCACGAACTTTCCTGCCTGGGCTGGCTTTGAACCGAGATCCTCAGATCTCAGCCACCAGCACCCAGCAACCCACTTTTATGTATAGTCATCATTACCACCCTATGGAAATCTGGGGGAAAATGTCCCATTTCCCAAATTCATCTTCCAAATATTAAAAGGCAACATTGCTTTACACTATGTCTACACAATAAGGGCAGAGTCCACAGGAACCACAGCTGCTGGAAACCAGATTTTCTATTTCTGTGATAACATCCACAACTTTAATTCTAGGCAGTAAGAAGACAAGTTAACTGCTGAGGTGGGCAATAATTATGCTCTTGAAGAAAGGGCAGGATATGAACCATATTAAATAAAAGTTAGGAGCCAAAAGATGACACAGCAAGAAATCAAAGCTATAGAACTAAGAGGGAAGCAGTTGGGGATAAATAAGAAAAGTAAAGACAATAAAGAGAATTGAGTGCAGTTCTAAGCTTGAACAGGGATCATATAACTTGGAAAAGAGTTTTGTAACCCAGGCAGACAGTAAGAATGTGGGAAGAGGAAAGAAAAGAATTTATTATTTTTATTTACAAAATCTTTATCAATTATTAAATGTTTTCATTTCTTACTCTGACTTTCTAGGACTGTAGAGAAATTGACACTTGTTGAAAATCATTCATTGGTTGCTAATCCTAAACCTATCAAAGTCTTTAAGAAGGATATAATAAATAGTGCAGCTAATTAATAACAAAGGGTGTATTTTGTGGGCATTCTTTAATATTAAAGGGTGATAATGACCGACTTCTTACCAAAATATGAGAACTTGTTTTTCTTACCAACCAGCCAATTTTATATGAAAAATTGTAAACTTGCAGATAAAACAGAAAAAATTGGTGTCCTTCTCACCACTTTTTGCTGTTCTGATCAACTGCAACCAAGCTCCAGAGAAACATGTATAAACATGGAAGAAATATCATCAAATGAGTATAAAACTTTCATAACCAGGATAAGGACATCCATTCTCAGGAACCCTGAAGAAATCTCATAGAAGTGACATCCACTTTCATCACATTCAGTGAATAGATACTGAGGAAATTAGGTCTGACTGAATTTCAGATCCATCCAGCATCCTATATCAGGTTCAAATCCTTGTGAAAACAAAAGGGCTAGAAAAGCCAGACAATAGCATGTTAGGTGCCCTTTTCCACTTGAAACTAAATATTTACCCTGCTAATTGTATTTGGAGCTGTTAAAAAAATCAATATTTTTTGTTCATTTCACAAATGAAAACTCTATTTGCTCCATTCTGTTAAAAGCTGACTGCAGATCTATGCCCAAGCCTCAAGCTAACTAGTCCCTGTTTTGTCCATCTTCTCTAAACTCAACAAAAGAAGCAAATTAAAAGAGAGGCTAAGAAACAACAAGTGGGTTAGAGGTCCATTCTTCCTTTGACTTTCCTCCTCTCTCCTTCTTTCTTGATACCTTGGAACTCATGCAAATTTAAGCTAGAGAAAGAGATAGGGAATTTGTAGCAACTTCTCTCCCTTTCCAACTTTCAGCTAGAGCATAGAAAGGCATTATGGTTCACCCAAACACAAGAAACAAGAAGATCCACTTTCTATAGGCTAACACTGGACTAACAGTTTGGACAAACAGTTCACAAATGCATTCTAAATCCATATACTGATTTTCTTACATATCTTGCCAGAGAACCAAGTGGCATTATTGAGCGTTACGTGAAATTCCCATCCGCCGTTGTTTTAGGAAAAAAATAAAACGACATCAAGGACAATGTAACATTTTAACTAGTCTAAATTCAAGAAGAAATTTAAATCCTCTCAAGAAGGAATTGTAGAGAATCTTGAATGCCAACAGGTAACCGAAGGCCTGTCCCCGCCCCCCTCCCCTGTTCTCTGGACTTGGGGAGGAGAGGACAACGCAAAGCCCTACCTGGTAGGCATCAGGAATGTTGACGGTTTCTCCATGCTCCCCGACGTAGCCAATGATGCCTTTGCCCCAGGGGACCTGCACCTCATTTGAGTTCTCCGTGCTGCTGCAAGGCAGCAATGGGGTTCCAGCATGAACATCAAAGAATTTGGAGACCAAGCTCTTCTTGCCAGCAGCTGCTCCTTCCACGAGGAAGAGAGAGCAACGGTCAGCGTCCACCATGAGACAGACGAAGATGAGGATCTTGTAGCTTAAGCTGGTGAGGTCAAGGTCATTGGAGATATCCTTGACCAGTTCCAGGAAGAACTCACGCTCATTATGCTTTTTGAGGTGGCACTTGTAGTCGATGGCCGTAGGGGGATACTGAGGCAGATTCACCCTCGATTCCAGCAAGGCGCTGAGAATGTGGGCTGTGGTGGGAGGCAGGGAACTGGCCTTCCGGAGGAGAGCCCTCCGCCGCACACTGCTCAGGGGCTCCTGGGCCCTGGAGGTCACCTGTTCGTCGTAGGTCCTGTTCACGTGGATGGCCTTGGAGCGGGCAAAACTCTTCCTCAGTTCTTTCTGGGAGGCCCTCCGCTGCAGGTTGCCGTCGCCGCGGCCACCACTGGCCCAGCTGGGACTCAGAGGACTGCCCCCACTGTCCCCACCACCGGGGATGGGCTGGCTGTTGGCAGAGCCAACACTGCCACTGCCTCTGGCGCCGCTGTGCGCCGAGCTGCCCGGGCCAGCCGGAGCAGGCCTGGGGCCCGAAGCCCCTTGACCCCGACTGTGCCTCTGCAGCCACTTCTCCACCAGCTCCTGCTTCCCCTTCCGCATCAAGTAATCTTCAAACAACTCTGGATGCCTGTCCAGGAAAGTTTCCACCTCCCCAAAGTCCAGGCGGGAGGCTGCCATGGCCCTGGGCACTGCTTTCCTGGTGTCTCTAACACGTGGACCAAACGTTTACCTGCCGGGCAGGCCTCTAGCAGTTTCTGCACATGTTTCCAGCTCGGTGCCACCTCTCTGCCAGCCGGAGATTGTTGCCAGTAGTGGAATGAATGCCAGCTGGGAGCTGTCCTGGCCTTCTGTGGCTCAGAGTGACTGGCACCAACCCTACCCCCCGTCGTCCTGCTACTCCTGCCCGGTGCGCACAGGTGCCAGGGCCCCGCGCTGCCGCCGCTCGCTCGCTCGCTCGCAGAGCCACCGCTGCTCTCGCTCCACTCTGGCTGCTGCCGCCGCCGCTCTGCCGCCGCCGGAACCCGCTGAGTGGACCACGGTGCAAGGGAGGTAGGGCAGGACACGCCCCTGCGAGACGCACCCAGCCCGGAGGGAGGAGGGAGAGGGAAGAGGCAGGCGCGCGCACTGGACCCGCCGAAGTCCACGGCCCAGGATGCCAGGCCGTTCCTGGAAGAGTCTCCGGGGCAGCCAGAATCCGTGCCGCCGGGGGAGCACGGCCCTCTCCTAATTGGCCGCAGATGAGAGCTGGGAAATGCACCTAGTTCCTGCCCCCTTCTTCCTTCCTCACCTCCGCAGCCGGGGGCTTCCAGAAGGCCCCTTGGGGAGCCCAGTGGGGCCCAAGTACGCACAAGTGCTGATGTTTTACCCACATCAGAACTCAGAAGCTGACTGCGAGGAAACCAGGATGCTAAGAGAGAACGACGGGCTTATTTTTCTGGAATGAGACCGTGGACTGTTGGTTCTCAGGATTCCTGGGACTGCCCAGTACTTTGTGGGTGTTCGTGAAATGTTGATGGAATTGAGTTTCCTTGAAATGAGCAGTTCCTTTCACCAGATCCGTGGCGCTGGGGCTGCGCGGGGCGGCGGGGGAAGGGGGATGTGTGTGGAAGAACACAACACGGTGGGAAAGTGTATGAAACAGTTACTTGGACTTGGAGAGACCCTGTGTAGAGCAGGAACTTACAGCGCAGTGCAGTCCAATGCCGGCCGCGGGGGACTTCCTTCTAGCCGATCCTGCATGTCCTTTCCTGAATGGACTTAAGTGTAAAGATGTCACCTCTGTAGGAGACTTTAATTTCTTCTGTCCTGGGACTGTTTGGGATCTGACTCGTCAGGTTGAGAATAACGTCAGGTGTCCTTGGGCCTTTTCCAAATCTAGTGGTTAGGCTAAGTGATGGGCTAGGAAAGGGAGCAGACAGATATAACACGTTTCTTGGAGCTCAGGGATTTCCTCCTTTGTGGGAATCAAAAACAAATGAGAAGCTGGCACAGCAGAATAATCCTGAAGCACTCTTACAGAATATCAGTGATTAAGAACTGCAGAAGCAGTAGGTGGAAGCTGACATGTGTGGACATACAGGCAAACATTCCCACAGTAAGTAGAGCTTTTTCCCTGAAGGTCATCCCTGGTCACTTGAGCGATCCAACAATAAAGATGATTAGTGGTTTTCTGGAACTGACTCATAGATGCGCACAAGAATCTATTTTAGCTTTTCTTTCCCATTGCGTTAAAGTCACATGGAGGAGTGTACAAGACTCCGTGATGGGAATGTTTATAATGTAGAAACCTGCAAATGTCTCAAATTACGATTTCTTTTAACAGATGACTAGTTGTTATGTAGTTAGCAGCATTCAGTGAAAACAATCCAAATGTCCTTCAATTAATTAGTGAAGACAATGTGGTATCTATCCAAGGAGCTATTTTTTTTTTCAGACTTAAAAGGGATGAAATACCTATATACACACACTAGAATGAACTGATACCTACACTTGGATTCATACAACTGGATGAACCTTCAAAATATTAGGTAAATAAGCCATTCACAAGGGGCCACATTTTGTATTATATCATATGAAATGTTAGTAATAGGCAAATCTACAGTGATAACTTTCTGGATGGAGTGGAAACATTGGCTAAAAATGAGTAGGGTTTTGTGGTGGTGAGGAAATTTTAAGTAATAAAAATGTTCTAAAGTATATTGTGGTGATGGTTGCACAATCTGTGAATATGTAAAAGTGTACTAAATTGTTAATAAAAGAATTGAAGGGTATATGAATTATACCTCACTATAGCAGGTACCTATAGTATAGTTACTACAGTATTATTACCGTGACACAAAGTCATAGTACAACAGCATTACTGTGTATGGAGACAATGGGCATCCTCAGGGAAGGGAAAGAAACAGCTTACCCCTTGACTGCCTGAACAAAGCCTTAAAAATCAGACATTTACATGCATTCATTATACAAACAGTATCATTTATCATGTTCCAGACTCTGGAAACAAAAAGACACAAGGACAAAAAAGCTGCTTATTTTATGTCAGCATGCATTTTTAATTGTTGTAAGATGCACATTACATTTACTAACCATTCAAAGTGTATAGTTCAGTGGTGTTATGTATGCTCATGTTGTTGTACAACCAATATATTTCCAGAACTTTTTTCATATTTTAGAACTGAATGTGAAACCTCTGCTCTACACTCTAAGATATGGAAAAAGAAAATTATATTGAGACATGGAGGGAGCAAAAATATCAGGAGAAAATTAGCATTTGGGGCTTGATTTTAAATTGGCAGTAGTCATGTTCCCTGCTTAGTACATGTGTTCACTAAAGTTGTTGGTAGAAGTGGGACTGGGCAAACAGAAGGTAATAGAGAGCATGTCAGACAGTCTAGAGGGCTGTGATTGGGGGGGGGGCTACATAGTAAGATGTATTGGTATTGCCCAATTACCATTCCTCTTCATTCTCTATGGCATGTATGCCAGTCATAGTTTCCAGAAGAGAGAGAGGAGAAAGAAAATGTTCAAATTAAAGTAATTCCAAGGGTGACAAATTACAAAGGGACTAATTTAAAAAGTAGAATACAGATAAACTATGAGGATAGTAAGGTAACTTGGGACTCCAGCAGCAAAGAAGTCATCATCCTTCGATCTGTTGGGAGGAGATAGGAGAAGGTTATCAGGTTTCTTAGAAAGGAGTGAAACTTACAAGGGGTAACTGCCTTGCAGGGAGCAGTATGGCCTGTCAGAGGACACAACAGCTCAAGCTGACCTCGAAGGAAGAATATAAGAAATAAATACCTTGAATTCATTCTCCTCCAACCCTCCTATCAGTGACCGGGCATAAGTGTACATTAGAAGGTATAGGAACCTGTTGAGGAATCCACATAAGACATCCCCTGGGCAATAAGTAGAGGAGATAAAGGAAAATGGATCTGTGTTAGATCCAGAGTGGCAAATGTAAAACACATGATGTAACATGGAACCTTGAAGAAGTCCCTTAGGAGATAAATTAAAAATATATTTCCCTCAGGAACTATAACTCCAAAGAATTTTCTGTGTAATTCTGCCCTCTTCTGCTCATCTGCTAATTCCATCAAAGTTGTTTAACACACTCTACCACGTTTGCTGGTTATAAGTACCCTTATGGGCACAAACAATCATACGTTATATGATACTGTGAAGATAAATCAGTCAGTCCAGTGAAAAGGATCTGTGGCCTCCCTTTTTGTCTACCTTTGCTTTTCTTCACTGAACTGTAAATATTGTCTAAATAATATCTTTTTGGAAAAAACAAAACCGAAAGGACCTTCCTTTTTGTAGTTTTTAATGCTTTAGGACAATATAAGCTTCCTTTTGATCTAATTATCCATTTATTTATTGTTATCAGTACCAGTTAGCTTGGTTTTCTTTTTTGCAACAGGATCCCACTATAGAACCCTTGGCTTCAAACTCATGATCCTCATACCTCTGCTATCCCCAAGTGCTGGCATTACAGACATGTATCACCATACCTAGCTTTCCAATTCACATTTGTTGAGCACTTTTAATGTGTGAAATACTGGGTAAAGTAATGATCATTTTTGTTAGTCCAAAGTACTAAACTTTGTATATAATAGCACTGCACAGAATATCAGAGATTGTCTAATATTCTTCACATTTTTTGTTCATGAATAAATACATCCCCGCTTCCAGTATCACACAACCTGGTACCAACTCTAGAAACATAGTGAGCTTATATTATTTGAGCTTTCCTCTAATCATTTCATCCCTAAGAGACATCACTGACTTTTATTGTGTGACCAAGGAACATCAACATACATGTAAGAAAGCTGACACATAACCAACCACTTCAAAACGTAATTGCTTCAAATGATGTTTTTCTGCTTCTCAGAATTCTATTTATTAAACCATGACTCTTATATTCCTCTTGATGTTAGCTGGAGTCACTGATGTAGTAGCTACATTCAGCTAGAAGCTAGACTGTGCTCAAAGGTCCAAGAAGGATTCTTATACCTGGGAACTCGGTGCTTACTATGACTAATGTTGCTTACTTCTTTCTTAAGAGGCCTATTTTCCCATGATGTCTCATTTACAGCCTTCTTTACATGGCTTCTCTCTCATAATCTGTTCTTCCAAGAAAGACTATTTCAAGAAGACTGAAATAGAAGAGCTTACCAAATTTACATAATACTTGCTAGTACTAGTATCCTATTGGCCAAAAACAATCATCTAGCCCAATGCCCAGTCAGTTAAAGGAAGGTCAAAGTGTGAATACTCACAAGTATGGTTCACTGAGAGTTTAGTAGACCACATAAACTTTCTACTAAATCCTAGACCTACATTTTTATTTTTTCAAGATTTCTGCTCCTACATAGAGAAATGTCATAGATACCTCCAATTTATCCAAGATCATTCTTATTTCTCTCAACTTAAATTTCCAGTCTGGTATGTGTTATCTCAGAAATTTCTCTTTGAATTCAGATCTCATCTCTAAACCCATTTTCCTTCATTCAAGCTTTCATTACCCTATCCATTCTCTACTAGTCAGTTTTGTCTTCCTTTTAATAAGAATAACAATGGTACAACCTTGCTTATAACCTTGGTTATCTATAGAGATAAGTTCTTGTCCAATGACATGTAGTGGGGTTAATGGAAGCCCCTAAAAGATAAACCAGCCTAGAATATGTAAATGTGATCTCATTTGAAAAAAGGGTCTTTGCAGATGTAATTATGTAATCAATGAAAGAGGTTCTTTGCAGGTTAACAATCTCAAAACAAGATCATTATGGATTAAAGGTAAATCCTAAATGCAATGATACTATTCTCTTTAGACACTCTAGAAAA